CCGGCCGCCCCGCCCGCTCGCCACCGGGCGCCGGAAGCCTCTCGCCCGATTTGGTGAGCCCGAAGCTGAGGGGTTGAACTCGTTGGTCCCCACAGTCCCTTGTCCCTTAAAAACCACTGTTTACTCTGAGCGGTCCTTAGAGCCTGGGCGAGCCCACCAAAGCCAAGTTAATTCAGGTTATAGCGTGACCATAAAGGCCTAGAATTTAGTGGTCAACGGTCCTCTGTCTTGGCAGTACATTAAAATGACCTGGGAAGCTTGTGAGAGCCCTTCGCCCTGGCCGCACCCCATGACATTGAGGTAGGGCCCAGGTGTCGGTCAACAGCCCAGCAGCTCGAACCTTTGATGTATGACAGAATCTTCTGGCATTTGACTAACCTGCAGGTTCTTTCTGCTTCAGTAGGTCGGGGTGTAAGGGCAGAACCTCATGTCTAACAAGCTCTCAGATGATGCCAGCGCTGCAGTCCACCCCGTCCTTGCCTCTCAAAGTGCTCTAGAATCTGGAGCAGAGCTTCTGGAACCCTGGTCAGCTGAGAATCACCCGAGTGGCTCTTCAAAAATGCAGAGCTGGTGCCCAGGCCCTCCCCACAGGGGCTGAGGTTCAGACCTGGGCACAGGTGAGACTCTAGAATCCCGATGTAGGTGAGTCCGACGTGGCCGTTGTTAGGACCAGGCTTCGGGGTGTGAGCCCAGCCACCTGGAGCTGGGAATAGACTTGGGCATTGAGGACAGCCAAGCCCGATCTAGAACGCGGGACATCGGACCAAGTCCAAGTCCTGATGCTTTATCTGGCTCATCAAAATCTCCTGCAATTATTCGGCATTACTTCGCTTAGTAGGAAAATATATAAGTTACATTAAACATACGCATACATTCCCGACACATATCCTTAAAGAAGACTTAAAGCTGGCCGGGGAAGAAGGCTCGTTCGGAGTGAAGGGACGGAGTGGGGGTGTTAGCCCGTTCGCGGTGCCTTGTGGAGGGCAGGGTGTGTGAAGCAAACAAAGCCTGGCTTCAACCTAGGGTCTGAGGAGTCTCCTTAGAGAAGATATAGGGACCAGGCTGAGCCTCCTCTTGGTAGCACAGAGTGAAACGTGGGTGTCCAAGAGCTTATGAATGTCCGGCACATCGCACACATGACCTCACTGAAATCTCACAGCAGTCTTGTAAATTGGACAGAAAAGACACATCCATTTCACAGACTAAGAAGGGATGCTCTGGACATCGGTTAACTTGCACAAACTGTGGAACTTGAATAAGAGCACAGATCCAGATGTTGGGTGCGGCTTCTGTACACTAAGGAAAACAGGGACTGAGATCTTAACAGAGAAAATGGGTAAATGGTTTCTGTGCTGACCGCTCCCATCCTCGAAAGGTCGCGCCTAAATATCGAGTGGAAAGGGCTTTGATTTTTATAGGGAGGAAATGCATTTTGTGTCTTCACCCTGGTTTTGCAGCTCCATGAATTGAGGCGCAAAATGTCATTCTAAGAGCACCCCGGTCCTGAGGCTGGCAGCTTCCTAGTGCAAGCTAGGGGGCCCCCGAGGGGCTCGGAGAGCAGCACTCAGGGTTTTCGGTGTCAGGATTGAGCGCCATTTCCATCTGATCCAGGCCCAAAGAGCTAAAGGATGTAGACATGACATACTGAAGACTGTTTTTCATACCAAGATTGGACATCAGGAAATGGGAACCAAGTGCATTTCAAAGTCACTCCTAGATGCAGAACCAGAATGTCAAGCACGAGTCTTGTGCTTGTGGTAAACGCTACGGACCATATCTGCAATCCAGGCAAGGTTTGGGGAGAAAGTGTGGATAATAGATGCAGGCTCGCAATCAAGAGGTCCGCCTGGGGACGCGTTGCTGCCACCTATGTCCTACCCACCTTTATCTTTATGTCCGATGTCACACATTAGAGCTGCTCTTCCATGTGATTATGAAATAAAAATAAATAAACGAATGAACGCCTAATTAAAAGAGAATTCTTTGTAGATGAAGGAGCTGGTCGTGGAATTGTGTTAGTTCAGTTTTTAATAAGAAAATATTTTTTTAAAGAACGAAGGTAGCATAACAGTCATGTTGGGACTTTTAGGAGGAGAAACCATCCTGTTTTCTTAAGTTTTAGAAACTCCCATCAAAAAATGTATCTGTATGGTATGTGGATCCATTTGCGTATTGATTGTAGGAGATCCAGGATTTAATTATATAAAAAGTTAATTAGTATGTCCCACTGCCATTGTATTTTGAGCCACTGTTATTGGAATTAAGCACATGAAATGTTGGAATTAAGCACATGAAATGTGTGATATTGGATTCATATTCACTGTGTCAATATTGACTGCGTCTGAGTTAGAATCTGTTTCTCGTTCGCTGCTCTCGTCTGGCGGGAACGGCTTCTGCATTTGTTTTTTTCTGAGGTCTGTATTCCTCATGGGTCAGAAAAACCTGCTCTTTGGCTGAGAAAGTCTTCATTCAATGCCTCTAAATGACCTGAGTGAGGATTTCAATTGTACGGACGCTGTCTATTCTCTGCGCATCCCAGGAGCTGTAACTAGAGTAGATTTTTATTAGACTCTCTCTGCTGAGAGTCACAGGCTTCTCACTGAGCTCAGAAGTTTTGGCCCCTGAATTCCCCATATTTGTTCATTACATTTCACTCAAAGGGATTCTGTGACGTGAAAATCTTTTACCCTCTGCCCACGTCACAGTTATAGCCCAGATAGGAGAACTGTGTAGAGTCCAAGGTGACTGGCAAGTCTGGGACAAGTGGGAATATAGCATTAGATTTCACTAGGGAGAAGAGAAGCTTGCCTTAAAAATTAATTCAGGTCGTGCTTGGTTTTCGGACATGGCTGCTTAGGATGTTTGCCTTGTCTGAACACATGCAGCTGCTAGTAACTTCACTGGAAACCATAACCGGACCCGT